TGAGGATATCTCTAAGACACAAACCAAGACCTTCATTTGGACAGAGAAAGATAGGTCTGGAGCAGAGACATAGGTTTGTGAGAACCAGAATAGTAGCTAAATTTGTGCTTCCAGAACAGATTAGGACAAGGTAAAGATAACAAGGGCTCATGCACAGACTCTTCCAGAAAGTTTGGAGAAGGGGATGGGGAGGTTACACAGAATAAACATTAAAGGAGCAATTGAAGATGGACCCTGTCACAGAAGCCAAAGACGACAAAAGATGTCAAGAAGAAGCTAATAGTCAAGGGGGTCAGGTGGGGAGGGGTAGGAAGTTTGTGTGGCAAAAATGTGAGTTAAGAAAATAATACTCACATATGGTTATGACATTTTTACAATGCATTTTTGTTGTCCCATTATAAGCTGACCCATCTGACCCCAGCACACTTTCCTGCCTGGGGCAGGGGGTCGGACTCCATGATCTGTTGAGGTCCGTTTCGACCCTGAAAAACTATGAAATCTATAATCTGAATTACAGTTTTATTTCTTTAGTAGATACTGAGAATATTTACTTGTACAAACTTTGCAGAAAATCACCACATTTTAGAGAAGGCTTTGATGAAATAACAGCAGTCATTATGCAGTGAGAATTGACTTTTGGATAACAAACAGCTTGTATCAAAGAAACTAATAATTACCTTTGCATATATGCAGCTTTCATTGAGTTTCTGCAGGGTGCAATTGCGTTCACACATAGGGCACATGATGGTTTCATTTGCCTCACAGATCTCTCTGCTTTAGCAGCAAGAAAGAAAAATGAAGTTAGAAGAATATTTTCAATGTGCTCAACTTTTTCCTAAAACCAGTGTGCACAATTTGTAGTCTTAATCTGTTTGTATCATGCCTAAACTAGCTCCATAAAAAAATTAAATCAAAACTGACTGTTCAGTATTTTAAGGTTAAATTGAAATCCAATTCCCAATCCTTCTGGTGACCAAAGGGGCTTTATCACCAATTTCTGTGACACTAGGATTTGAACCTAAGCAATGGATACAATGCTGCAAAGTCCCTGTATATGCACAGCTCTCATGCATAACAATTGAAGGACTGGTCTCAGTGTGTTAGTTACTTATTCTCAAATATAACAAAATAACCAGAAGACCTTAAACACAAGGCGACATCCTCCAGTGATGTCAACAAAAAGAAATCAGATGTAAAGTGAGAATGGGAGAATTGGCTCTAAAGAGTTTTCTTGTTGATTTCATTACAGCCAGGTCGCCTCTCTGTACCTACACATCAACATATTTAATGTCAAATGCATGAATCATAAATGGCAATGAGGTTTGTGGTGGATGAGGTGGGAGGGTGAGAAGTGTTCTCGTGTTTGTATTTACATTTTCCTCTAAATTAAATGTGCTTGGGTGAGAATGAAACAAGACTTACTTAGTTATTGACATTCCAGTTACTGGACTGGAAAATACCTTCAAACAACTCTGAGATTCATCAAGTTATTTAAGAATGTGAGCAGTCTAGGGCCTTTGTAACGCAGTAATTTTGGGCAGCTCCTGGAGGTCTTAACACTTGGATTGTCCACACATGAATCCCTGAAACTAGTTTTAAGCACTCGTTATGCTGCTCAAAGTTATGCCACTCTAGCGCAGGATTATCTGATCCTAGTTTGTGTTACACTAAAGGCCTTTATACACGTTGCACTTTGAGCTGCTCAAATATTGATGAGTGTTAGTGCTAGCTCAAGTCTGCAGCAGTCACACATTAAGGCTAAAAAGTCATCTCCCTGATCTGCACAACTATGCCTTGCTACTTGAGGGCTGGCAGGCAGAGGCCAGACTAGGAGCTATATAGCTATGTGTTGCCACTACAGGTCTGGATAAAATAAAAAGAAGGGAAAAAATAATTTTAAAAGAAGTAAAGAGAATAAAGAGGAAGTAAATTAAAGAAGATCTCATATTTCAATAAACTGGGATTTGGATGTGGGGGGTGCTGGTCATGCTTCCTGGAGAGGCCAGGAGGTGGGAGCAGTGAGGGAAAGTGTGTTTGGGGGAGATATTGCCTATGCCCTAGGAAGGAAGCTTCATCTCATGGCATGCACCCCTAGGAACGGGAAGCTCATATACTTGGGGGCAGGATGGGGAGAAGGCTTGGTGCTAGAACTGCCCCCTGGGCAGTAGAGTTCAAGGGATGGAAAGTTTATCCACAGAGAAAAGGAGGATAGGGGAGGAAATACTGCAATCTTGGATGCTGGAGGACTGAAACTTAGGTGGCTCATCTGTGGAGAGTTGCCATACATTAATATAATGCAAGCTGGGTAACAGATCAGAGATAAATCTACCTTGGTCTGGTATAACTTTAAGCTGCCTAAAGTATGCTTAAAACTTGATTCAGGTGTTCATGTATGGACAATCCAGGGGTTAAGAGCTTCAGGAGCTGACTAAAATGAATATGTAATGATGCCCTAAGGTGTAGCCACTCTAGGCTACACTTTAGTTTAAATACCCGACCCACTCCCTTTCCCCACTGGCCCAGATTGGGCCCACTCTCCCCCATTTCCCTCCCCACCCCTACCCTACTTCTGCAAAGACCCTCCATCTAAAAATATATATATCTGGATATAATAAGTTCCATAGTAAACATCCAAGATCCAAGGTTGGCCTCCTTAAATTTAACTTTAGGGATACAGTCTTCATATCTGACTTATGCTAGTTGCACCAACATTAAGAATTCCATATAGAAGCGCATGCTTTCTAACTCTGGCCTTTCTTTTTATTATGTTAAAGCAGGGCCTTCAGGATATTTCATAGAAGGGAAAAAACAAAACAACAAACCAGAACCCAAAAACAACCAACTTTTTTTCTTCTTCTCTTAGTCACACACAGCTTCCTAGAAATGCAATTTGACCTGTGCCTATATTATAGGGCAGGGATGGTGGAGCAGCAACCATAACAGAAGGCTACTGAATGCCATGAGGACTTCTGCACAGGATAGAGGGTAGGCCATGATATACAGTCATTCAGTCACTCTTCCTTTGCAAGATCGTAGGTAGAAACTTCCTTCTCTTCCTTTGCATACTTTACCCAGGCCTGGAATGGATATGAAGGCTTAAGCAGCCTGTCCCTTTCTTTCTCTCTCCTCTCAGGACTCCATGGGTTATTTTTCCTTTGCCAGGCTAGATATTTCCCACCCTCTAATTTTGCTGAGCCAAGGAGAAAGGGGAAATGCTGCACTGAGATTGAAATGGATTCTTGTGGCAATATAAAAGAATACAACAAATACTGTACCAAGAACTTCTGCTTGATTTGTTTTTGCATCAAGACTGTTTGCTTGGACTTTACTAAACTTCTCATAGAACTCACAGGCCTAACAGGAGCTTTTATATTGAATCTGGTGTTATTTACAAATGTGAATTTCTACGAAATCCTATCTCTGGAATAATAAAACTACAGACTGATGTGAAGTTTGTATGTGATGTTTTTATCTGCTTTGATCTTAGTTTGCACAGCACCATCAGTCTCTAAGGGCACCATCAGTGCTCTGGGGGCACTTTAATTAGAGAGGCTCCAAGAGCCGCTCTAATTAAAATGCCTGCAGTGTCGCATGTATTAAGTGTCCTGCACTTCAAAATGGTGGGCTTGAACAAAAACCTTTTTCAACAAACCTTAGTTCAAGTGCCCCCATCACCATTTTGAAGTGTGAAGACACAGGATAGACATGATGCAGAGGCTGCTGGACTAGATTAATTAGCATGCTTCAGCATACTTGTGTGCTAATCAGCACATGTTGGAGCAGACGTCTAGCATGTGTATACATACTTTAAATTATCAAAGCATCATAACAAAACTGGGAGCTGGCAGAGAACCTGTTCTAAAGAATTTGTAAGTACAGTAGCTGATTTCAGAGATGTACAATGATACATGCCTTTGCATCACATCCAAGATTACAACTGGATCTTGGTATATAACAAAGACAAAGGTACAGCAAGCTGCTCTGTGCCCTATGCAGACCAGGGCACAAGAGGAATATTATACTAACTGCTAGAGAATGGCAATGGCAGTGTGTATGTGTGAGTGTCTGTGCATGTGTGCATGGAGGCTTGGATTGCTACGGCTCAGACTGCTGGGGCTGGTGCTGGCCCATTCTCTCCCTTTTCTGCTGCCTCCTTAGATATGTTACCACATAAGGCGATTTTCCTCAAGCAAATTTTCTAATTGAGGAGAACTGTAATGACTATACATATTACAAAAAAACAACCATGAGGACAATTTCTGATGCTATAAATGAGAAGTTAGACCCCAGATTTAAAACAACATGTTTTACACGTTTAGGTCCTGCTGTGGTGAAGTCTTCTTGCACATTCTGCTTTTAAAAATCTGATTTACTTTCTCACAGCTAAAATCTCAGGCATTTATACTGATAGTAGTGAACAAGTCTCTGTAAAACCAATATTTGTTAGCAAATTTGTTAACAGGGTGTTAAAAGTGTCTTTAATAGGGTTCATATTTCAAATACCTTTCTCACTTACCCTATGGAAAAAAGCAGGGACATTTTATTAAGAAAATAAAAAAGAAAGAAAGGAAAGGAAAGAAAGAAAAGGAAAGAAGGCTACAAATTCTGCAGTTCTGCTTGCAAAGGATAAATTTTGTAGCTCAAATATTGGAAGTACTTTGATATAAATTCACTATAATTATTTTGTTTTAGCTATATCCATTTCACCGTAAGTAAAAGGAACCAGTTGCTTTTACGGTAGGCACTATGCTACCATGCATAGCATATTATATGCCAGTAGTGTGTTGTTGCAGTAGCTATTTCCACAAGGTTACCTCTTCACCTCAAACAGCTTTCCACAGAAATGGCTACACTCCTGCAAGCGAGGGGCAGCTTCAAATGTCAGACTCCTTTCAATGGAACTGCTTATCTGCTTCATTGCTCTGACAGGGAAAGGAAAATATTCCTGTTCCTAAAATCTGCTCTATTGAGAGGAGAGGGGAAAAAACATGTCCGTAAACATATGACACATATGCTTGTTTGTTCAGAGCAGGGATAGGTATACTCTATCAAATATTTACGTTTATTTTTTGAACTACTGTCTAACACACAGGAAAAAATAGACACCAATTTTAGATTTGAGGGAAAAGTATGTATTTTTAAAACAAGACAAGTCTAGTAGTTAATTATAGCTTCAATCTATAGTATTATTTATAATTGGATGGGATATTTGGTCGGTACCAGATTTTTAGCTCAACAAATACCCTATGGTGATAAACATTTCTATACCTGTCTATGTAAGTAGCTTGAACAACCAAATTCACTCCCAAACCACTAGAGGGAAGATTCATATAACCTAAGTAGCAGCCTATTGTATAATCTGAAAAGCTGACTGGACTTAACTAATCAGAGCAGAATGTTTGCAACACCTAATTTAATCACCGTACAAAATTCACACCTTGATGTACATAGCACA